GGGGGGTCCCCGCTGCTTCCTTTCTTTTCCACCGAAAGTTTTGTTCATTTTGTCCTAAATAAATTTGACATGTTACATCTTGTAAAGTTAAAGTTTACAGCCTGCTACTTGGATCCATTTAGATACTGTGATATGACTGCCATCGAAGCAATATTTACCACATTACATCATTATAGAGCAATATTCTTGACTCCATTCGTGATGCTGCACACTCGAGCTCGGTGGCTTATTTACTGCTTATTACGAGTCTGTGGCTCACAGGCAGCCTGACTTTGCACCCTGACTCTGGCCCCTAAGGAGAGGCCCCACTTTCGTCTTGAGCCAGAAGGGGTTCCCCAGGGGAGCGAGAGCAAGGGAAGCTGTGGGGGGCAGCAGGATTCAATTAGTTACAGGCAACTCGAAGTGCTCCTGTGCAGTCCCGCCATAAATCAGACTTCAGGGGCTTCCAAGTGGAATGGAAGTTCCTTTGATTGGCTTCCAAAACCCTTATAATCCATTAGCATCCCAGAAATTGAAAAATTTATAGGGTCATTAAAAATAGATGTCAAAGGGTCGCTGGGTTTGAAGAGGTTTCCCCATTTTCTTCCTTCACAAGCCATGCCCCGTGTTGCCATTTGACAAAAGCACAATTAAGTGATGGACGGGAGAGCCCTAAAAGCTCCCAGTGGTTTTTCACCCACTCTGTTCTACCTCAGAGGAGTTGGGCCTGAAGATCCATTGTGATTTGGGGGGACTGATCCTACTAGGAGACAGTGCCATCAAACTCACCCAGCAGAGACAGGCAGACTTTTAGGGTGAGAAGGATTGATATTGCGGGATAGGCCGAAGCTCAGCTCTGGGGCCACAAACCTGAGCACTTAGTTGGCCCCACAGTGCTTTGTAATATTTCCCCAGACTCAGCCCAGAGCACTGTCTTCTCCCTTTAGTGCACCAGTGGAATCATTTTTAAACAGATCGATCTCTAGCCAGCTCACCCCTCCACCACATCTTCAGTTCTGCTCTTTTTATGTGCTAAGCCTTTAGGGACTCTTAGCAGGAGACCTCAGGTGAGTGGCAGGACCAGCAGAGGGGCGCGGGGGGACACTTCCAGTTTCTCAGCAGTGCGTAAAGATTACCCTGCAGGACACCCAGAGCTCCCAGAGACCAGGGCCTGCTGGGGCCATGTGTTCCTGGTTAGAGGGATGGGGCAGGACAGTGCTGGCCATGGCCTAGCCTCAGCCTCCTGCACAGTCCAGCAGGACAGCGAGTACCAGCCCACATCATTGCGGTCATCTTCTGTGACTCCTGTTTCAATCTTGCATCTAACACAACTGAAGTAGCATCTGGCTAAGCACCAGCTCTTGGAAGAAGGAACTAGAAAAAGCTGCTTTTGCTGTTGGTTCTATGTGGAACTGACGGGGAGCAGGACACTCAGCGGCCTTTTGCACTACAAGGCTCAGTGGAGTGGCCTGTTCCGGCTGCCCAGAGGCCTTCTCCTCCTTTGGTATTCAAAGCCTTCCTTCTGATGCACCTATCTACCCTGTTATCTTGCTTGCTGAGGTCTGAGGCTTCTCTCCGCAGCTGATGTGCTTTGTATTTGCCTCCCCTTGCATTGTTTCCAGATTGGCAGCAGGGACAGGCTCTAGGGTGTAGGGTCCCTGGGCTCCAGGAGCGTGTGTGCAGGGTTTGCTAATCCACATGGTCTTATTAACGTGCTCTGGGTGTCGAGCCCCCCTGTAATTGCAGTCACTCGTGATCAGGAAAGCTGGGAGGGACCACCCAGAGGTGCAAGGGTGAGGGGTTGCGAGCGGTGGACAAGGAGGGTGGAGGGGAGTGAGTGAGACCCATGCAGGCATATCCCAAGTACCTGGTAGCCTGGCGGGTGCAGAGGGGACTCGGAGCAGGTGACCCAGCGGCCCAATCTTGAAGGGTGAGAGGGGGCTGCCCTGCCCCAGCATGGGGGCAGCTGGGGAGTATTTCCTACAGAGTTCAGTGCAGTGACTGGCTTTGAATTCAACTTGTATTGCTCAGGAGCTGACAGTGGGGAGCTGTCAGAAGGTCAGTTCCCTGTGCTAACAGAGGACCCTGTGGTAGTGGAGAAGGGGCTGAGTAGGGTACAGAGGAGCCCGCTGGACCTGAGGGACACCCAGAACAACCTTGGTTCCCAGAATATAGGACATGGCCGTGCGCAGAGGTCAAAGGGAGTGAGTGGGGGCGGGACCTGCAGGCAGGCTCTGCAGAAAACATTCCCAGGGCACCACACTGTCCTGAGGGGGCTGAGGGGTTTGCAGCAGAGAGACCCAGGCTCACATCCGAAACACTTGTGTGCGTTCATCTACAGGGACAAATTCAGGGACGTTATCTTGCCACCATCAGTGTACAGTTAGTGGCTTGTGTCCTGGGCCCTGGCATTGCAGGTAGGAGAAGAGAATCCACAGGGAAGAGCCAGCCAGGCTGTTGTCTTACCCTCTTCCTGAGCTCAGGGCTGGCCCGGCCCTGCCTCCTCACAGGAAGCAGGAGGGAGCTGCCTGAGAATGCCAGCCAGGCAGACCGCACCTTGTAACCCTTGCGTACTTCTTTGGATTTCAGTGCCAGGAGAACCTCCAAGTTTCGTCTCAGTGACACCGCACACCACCTCCTCTGTTCTGATCCAGTGGCAGGTAAGGACCTGGGGAATCTCTGTGCATCGTGAGTCACTTTGTGCCCGTTCCCTGCTCACTGGGCTGGAACCTGCAGGCCAGCCCTTGCTGGGTGGGTGTTTAGGAGGAGCACAAAGAAAACATCCACACTGGACTCAAAAACTGGGAGGAAAATAGTGTCAAACTGTAGTTTCCAAGACTCAGAAAGGATGGCTGACGTGCACGAGCAGAAAAAACTTGTCCTCGTGTCATTGAGGGACCAGCGGGGTGAGGCTGGCAAAGGGCACCAGAGGGACTGAATGCCCAGGCGTTTAGAAAAGAGGGCTTCCAGGAGCATACGAGCAATGAAACCATAACCTCTGAGGCTATCTCTCCTATAGAAGTCATTTTCAACCAGACAAAATATCTGCGGGATTCCATGTATCTTCACTAGTGTGAGTCTTTCATCTTCAGTGAACAGTGAGTCAAACCACGCACATTTTTCTCAATAATCAAGTAGCCCTTGGTGGGCTGCCAAATAATGCTGGACCTTGAAAAGGACATGCTGCCCTCTCTTTGCCTTATCCATAATTTTGGCTTTTAAGGAATACTTTAAGAACAAAAGTACCAGAGGAGCAAGTTCCCCTGCCCCAGGGCCAGCCCTGCTGCCTGTGGACTAGCTCTAGGGTCTCAGCCAGGTCAGGTCTGGCGGGGCTGGATCTGGCCAAGGCAGAGACCAAGGGCCGTGGTGAGAGCCTGGGGGAAGCTGCTGGCCACAGGGGAGTCCTGAAGCCAGAAGTAAGTCGCCATCTCTAAGCTGAGGATGCAGGGCCCAGAGCCAGCGAACCATGGGGTGTACTGCACAAGGGTGCTGGAGAGTGAATGAATGGATGCAAGTGATTGTTGAATACTGGCAGTGTCTGGGGCCTTTGTTTAAAAGTCCGGTGATTTTTGTGTGTGTGTGTGTCACCAGAAATAGCCATAGGGACTAAATTCCTATATCAGTCTGTGGTCAGATTGGCGTCATTACTCATCGTTGTCAGTTTCCAAAAACTATGGTTGGTGTGAAGTAAGGACTAACAATATTAGGTTAAATCATAGGAAATTTGACCATTGGTCAGTTGGAGACTTGGCCTTATTTTGTGTGGTTCAACCTAACACAACTTGACGAGGGAAAGCGTTTTCATCACCCAGGTTCTGATAAAAGTTCAAAATCTTCCGCAAGTATTGATGGAGTAGTTGGGGACCACATCTTCATCTCTTTTCTATTGCTAAGTAACAGTGCCTGGGAGGTGATGGGCTCTTTAAAGGGGATCAAAACCTACTTCCAAATATGTTTTTGGTGAAATGGAAATTCAGTCCATAGCATTCTGGAAGTTCTGACCCCCTCTCCCTACTCCCGCATCGCCCCCCCCAGCTCCCCGCATGCTGGCCACTGGACTGGGAACCAAGAAAGCATCGTCAACTCCCACCTCCTCCTCCTGATCCATAGCTTCTCTGGCTCTGGTTTGCTCATCTGTAAAAATAGGAGGTCAGAGGTGACATCTGAGGTCCAAGGCCGACTAGACACCCGCACCCTGACATCCGCAGGACTGAGGTGGGGTGCAGGAGACTCATTCCACCCTCTATAAACATAAACAAAAGAATGCTGTTCCTTTGTGCTTTGCTAAATTTTAGCAGAAAATTAGCGCTTCCTTTGAGACACTCAGCTTACCAAGGACTAGGCAAGCTCCTTTTCTGTAAAGGCAGTGCTCAGGGCTGCGGCTGCTTCCCCTCCAGAGAAGCAGCTGTGGACAAGCCACCGGTCATCCTCCCCCAAACACTCGGGCTCCGAGCCCCTCCGTGGCAGTTGAACAACTCTGTGAAGTGGTGGGGAGCGGCACCAAAGGAACTTGGCATATGTGTCCATCAGCTGTCCCTGTTTGGTGCCCAATAGAACAAACTAATTGCAAGAAGCCCAGAGCAGGAGGTGGTCAATACCATGTATTGTAGAAATAAATGTCTGTCAACTGCCAGACATTTGAAGTATAATTGAAGTGTAATTAAAATTATGAGTAATTTACTAAATCAGGGTGAACAGAACAAAGAGATTATGTTTTAAATATAGATTTGCATTCCCAATGGAATGTTTCACCTGTAAACCCTTCTTTTTTTTAGTAATGTATTTAAAAATGCTAACACTGCCTGTAATTCAAGACTGCCGACCCATTTAAATAGCTCCTCCATAGCAGTCTGTCAGTTTAATTCTTCTTAGTGGGATAATCAATCTCTACCTTCGTGGGGTCCGGTGCTGCTTGGAATCTGAGGATTTGAGCGTGTATTCTAGACAGTGGCGGCGTTGCGTTCACAGCACTACAGTTCATAACACACATTAGTGTTTCTGAATTGATCACAACATTTAAGTTGGCTGTTCGAAAACCTCCAGTGGATTGTATAGTTTGTCACTCAAATGCATTTCCCCTCGTGTTACCGCAGATTTGTCTAAGTGGATCTTGAGGTTGTTTTCTAGCAAAGAGAGCACCCCGAGTGATCTATCAAGCCCTGCAGGAAGCTCTCAGCAGAGGGCGACTCGGTGTTGTCGCAGGCAGCTTCCTAAGAGGAGCATTATGGTTGCGTGGGCAGGGGGGCGAGGCAGCGGGGCCTCTCGGGACGTATCTTGGAACTTGGAGCAGCTTCTGTGTAAGGTGCTGAGCATCCAGAGATGAATGGAACAGATTCCAGGCCTAGAAGAGCTTTCCTTTAGTGTGCTGAGCTCGACGATGCAGTGGGAGGACATGGAGGAGCATCCTGGAGGAGCATCCTGGAGGAGCATCCTGGAGGAGCATCCTGGAGGATGAGTGGAACTGCCCCTAGTCAAAGGCAGGGAGAGCGCATCTGACACCAGAGCATGATGGCTGCTGGTCAGATGTGGACTTAAGTTCTAGCTCTGACCCATATAGGCCACAAGTCTCTGGGCATGTGTTGAACCCTTTTAGTCCTAGCCTGTCCTCCCTGTAAATGGGACTAGGAGCTGCCCTGTCAGTCTGTCCCAGTCTGTCCCTATGGGAGCAGACAGAAAGAGGGGTGAGCATCATTGTCGATCCCCAACCCCTGTCCTTCCCTCCAAACATCCCTGCTGCCCCCATGAGCCCCTGTCCTTATCCTTCCAGCTCTGCCCCGCTCATGCCACCTGTTTCAGCGGGTGACCGGGCCCAGGTGCATGTCTACCAGGTCACCTGCACATACACAGGGATCTGTAAAAACTGAAAAGGTGCTCAAGACCCCCGAAGAGTCTGCCAGTGCATTTTGGGTCTGCAGAATAAAGTCAGAGTAAATTTTAGGCAAGGTAGCCAATTCCCTACAAGCATCTGCCCATCAACATGGCCAGCCCAGGATGAAAGAAGCATAGACAAGGAATGAGCAAATCCAGCTCATTCCCGCAGACATAGTTGAATGCCCTGTGTTCAAGGCCGGCTGCAGGTGCTGTGGCGAAGACAGAAACGAAGCGACATGACCTTTCCCACCCAGCAACACCAATCAGAAACCATAGGCACAGGTAGGCTGGTGCTAAGGGCCAAAACAGCCTATGTTTTGGAAGCTGCTCTTTATTGTGGAAATGGCTGACAGTTGACGCTGGGCAGTTCAGCATCAGCACTTAAATCCACAGTGTGAAATTGTTGGCCCATCAGCTCTAGAACAGTCTGTGTGTTACGTGGAGCTGCCCCACTGGTACCCGGTGGGACACAGTCATGGAGGCCTCGTCATGAGTGGCAGGTGAGCTGGTTCCCAGTCCAGGATGAGAACGTGTGATTAAAGCCTTCAGAACCCCATGTAGACTGAGGACTCAGCGGCTCACGAGAGCTTGCCCTTGTGAGGGCTGGACCAGCTGCCGCCTTTCCAGCGGCCTCCCTCTGGCCTGCTTGACCCCGTCCCTTCCCTGGGCCTGGGTGCCTCCTGCTGGGAGGCCAGTTTAGGGATCTCCGGGCCCCAGCAGTAGCCTGTTGCCGCATGCAGGCCCCTACCAGTGGGCAGTTGTGCCTGGGGGCCTGAGGACCTGGCCCTTTCCATTCATGCCCCTAAAGCAGCCTTTGGAGGTGGCTAGAAGTGGGCCCAGGATCAGTAGCCCACCCTCACCCCTCCATCTTCCAGCCCCAGGATACCGGACACAGAAGCTGGATGGGGTGTTAGCTGCCAGCTGTGTAGCCACATCTGGTGCCTACTGAGGACCTTTTTGTTTTCCCAAATGCTTAGCTTCCTGCATATTTAGTATTTTTGGTGAGTTGAATCCTACACTCGTCTCTTCATATGATCTCCCCAAAAGAAAATGGCCCTCGCTGTAGTCCTGTCTCAACCAGCCTGCATCTGCAGAGCTAGATCCAGGCCTCGTAAAGGTCCAAGTACCTGCCACTGCCGGGGGCGTAATCTGGGGCTGTCAGGGAGGCTTTGAAGGGTGAGAGGCTGGCTGGTGCTCAGAGAGACCCCGCTGCAAGACCCGTTTGATCTGCTCACTCCCTCTTCTTTTACCCACTCCAGTCAGCTCCGACCTCTGAAAGGGAAGCAGGAGACATCTCATCCTCACAGCCCAGCCCCTAACACTGCTACGTGCTGACTCTCAGCCAGGATGACTGTCTGTCGGTGCAGTCAGGACTGAGCCTTACTCTGGCTGCTCCTACCCCTGCCCTGCAGCCAGGGCCCCTCCCCTGCATCCCTGCACTCCTGTCTAAGGGTCTACACACGACCCCTCCTGGAGGGCCACTGCCCCCATGCTTCAGCCCCCCCATCTCCAGGGTCATCTGGGAAGTCCCCTCCTCGGAGCATTTTCTAATCCTCCCGGCTGCAAGCAGGCCTCCCCTTGAGGCCCCTGTGGATTATCACTCAGGAGACCTCCCAGACCGAGGCGATGGTGATGCTAGAAGCTGGACTGGGCTAACTTGTAACCCCCGCACTGCAGGCTCGGCTTTCTCACACGTTGCTCCACTGCCCTGCCGATAGCCGTGGGGTGCAGTCACCTTTGTCCCGGTGACGGGTCATGGGGCACAGTGCTCCTTTGTCCCGGTGACGGGTCAGTTACCTGTCAACAAAAACCACTGCGGGAGGAAGGACTCTGATGAGTTCTTAGCTGACATGGGCCCTGGGGTCAGACCCTGCAAAGGATGGAAGTGGGGGAGTACTGGGGCCTTATTTCCCCTCTACCCACCATTTTTACTCTTGGGGTTTACCAGTTGGGTGAGCGCCGTCAGATCTTCCTAGGCCAGATGCCCTCACAGGTGCCAGGAATCCAGGCTGAGGCCTGAGTCGGGCAGAGGAGTAGGGGTGGCCTGGCAGGCAGAGAGGTCTGTGAGGGGCCCTGCTGGGTAGGGACTGAGAGGGACAGGGTGCGACCAGCTGATGGACAGTCTGGAGCGGCCATTTCCACTCACAGAGTTGTGGGTGTTTGGGCAACATACAGCTTCCTGGCCCATCTGCCGCAGTCCCGGCTTCACCCGAGTATTCCAGCTGGGCAGGGATGGGATTCCAAGCCCCCTCAGATGGGCACCAGAGAATCTGGGATGAGAGAATGTGGCTCAGTGGCCTGGCCCCGTGCCTGCCACCCCTTTTCCTCCTCATGAATGTGACACCTGTTTTTTGTTGGCAAACTCTGAGAACCACCTATGATTGCGTAGTGACTTCTCCTGACCAACTGGCTACTTCATCCTGAAGCGACCTCACTAGACTCTTCTTTGCACTGACGATGGTGTCTTTGCAGCCTCCGAGGGACGAGAGCCTGAACGGCCTCCTGCAGGGGTACAGGATCTACTACAGGGAGCTGGAGGCCGAAGCAGCCTCAGGCAGCGAGTACAAGACACTGCAGACACCATCCGCCTTACGGGCAGAGCTCACAGGTACCTCTTCCGTCCTGGTGCAGGTGCCACGACGCAGGGAAGCGTTGTGGATCCTCTCCACGCAGTGTGTGGTGGGAGGCGCCTGGCGGAGCGGAGAGGCATCCCTGCTGCTACAGAGCACAGTGACGCAGGGGTGTGCAGTGAGGGCGAGCCTCCCGGAGGCCAGCAGGGTGGTGGCCCACAGAAAGAGCCCTGTGCTCTGGTTTCCATCTAGTGTGGGGCAGAGGCCACATCTGGGGAGGATTCGTGGAGGAAGCGTCCTTGGAGATAGGTGCTCAGGGGAAAAAGATTTCATGAAAGACACGAAGGGGAGGTGTGACTTACAAGGGCCCCGCAAGATGAAATGGTCAGAAGGCTGAAAGAAATGAGGGGCTGAAGGCCCAGAAGTCAGCAGCACAGTGTGAGGTAAGATCCTTGTGCCCCAGGTTTTATAAGGAGAGGTAGCCGGGCCCTGCAGAAACTGCAGCGCGGCCCTGCACGGGGAGCATCCGGCTGGGAGGCAGCAAGGCAGCTGCAACCTGTGCCGCTGGTCCCGCACTGGTCCAGCCGAGTCTGGAGTAGGCTGTGCCCATCAGTCGAGGCTGCTCCCTACCCCCCTACTCTGGAAGCAGGGCTAGAGTCTCATTTCCTGACAAAGGGTGGCACAGAAAATACTTTCTGCCCCTTAGTGTCCACAAGTTGGAGAGGAGACATTCAGAAATGTGCTGCTCGGTGGCCACATTCCTGCTCTCTGCCACCTTGGTCTTGGCAGGAGGCTCTGCCGGACGGGCCCGTGATGCGCTGAGTCAGTCCACACGGGCCACGTGTGCGGACAGGCAGTGCCCAAGTGCGCACCACGGCCGCTCACACTGGCCAGCGCACTGCAGCTTGACCCTGGCCTGGTATCGGGGGGGTATTGACCAAAGATAACGACTTGGCATTTTTCTCACCCACATGCTTGGCACAGCCCCCAGGTGTCCCTCACTGATGCCAAACTATCAACATCTCCCTGAACTTTGTAGCAAAGTCAAAACAAGAGGGTCCCAGGTGCAGCTGGGTCAGGTTGCAAGTGCCCTTAGAGCTTGCTTACCTACCTGCGCTCACGCAAGGCCTCGCCTGAGTACAGATAAGCTGATGGTACCTGCTGCAGGAAATCTGGAAAAGTTGCCACCCCGGTAGAAACTGATTTCTGTATCTTCTCCAGTATTGCTTTGTGCTGTCGTGCCAGATACTAATTCGTTCCATTTAATCAGAGAGGTGAGTGCATGCCCCAGCCCATCATGGACCAGGGTGCCTGGCTGTTACATGAAGTGGGGTGACCCCCAGAGATTGGTAGGAAGAGTCATCTGCGGTCTTTACGGCCCTTGGACAAGCAGGGCGGGAGCCGGAGCGGTTTCCCAGCCGGGCCCCATCTCCTCCTTCCCTCAGCACCTCATTTGCAGTAACTGCTCGCTGCATACTAACTGCCTCTCTGCTTTGCTTACCCCTAATAGCCCAAAGCAGCTTCAAGACTGTGAACAGCAGCTCCACATTAACGACGTATGAACTAACACGTAAGTGCACACCGCCTTCTAGCGCCTTCCGCGGGAAGCGGCCGTGACGGGGAGCCAGTGGGGCCAGCGCCCACTGGCCTCAGAGGACCAAGTGAAAACCAGCCTGGATTAATGGCTCCACTTCCTGGAACCGCCCTCTCAAACGCGGCTTCTCCACGTCCCAGAGCCAGGGAGAGAGGAAATGACACTTCTAGAAACAGACAAGACACCGGGAAGGGGGCTTAGTAACCTCGGGTCCTCGAATTTGGGATAGATAGTTGGAGAGGACAAGATTTCCTCTCTGGCTCCCTTTGACCTTTTGCAGTCTTTGTGTGTATGTGTGTAGACTACACATAACAAAACTTACCGTTTAACCATGTTCAAAGTGCCCATTTCATAAAGTATTGCACTCTTGTGCAATATCGCCACCGGCCCTCTCCAGAACTTTCCATCTTCACAAACTGAAAAACTATAAAGCCCATGAACACTAACTCCCCGCCCCCCTCCCGTCACCTCTGTCATCTCTGTCCACCTGTCTGCTCCGAAGGCCTCATGTAAGTGGACTTCCAGGGTCTTACCTTCGGTGCCTGGCTCGCTTCCCTCAAGTTCTGTCATGCTGAAGCACTCTCAGATTCTCTTTCTGTTGAAGGCTGAGTGATCGCCCCTTGTGAGGGGACACCCTATTGGTGTGTATGTGTCATCTCCTCCCCTGGGCCCCAGCCAACCCACACTGCCACCCTTTGATTCTTCACTAGGGATGGGTTTCAAGGCTCAAATTCAGGCCACAGTGACTCAGCCCTTCCTCTTCAGCCTCTGCCAGCCCCTGCAGGCAGTCCACCGGCCCCGTAGCCAGCACAGGCTTCAGCTATGTTTCCTTTCTGCACTGAGCTGTTTCCCTCCACTCTGCTTTATTCGCGTCTGGTCATTCACTGGCCTGTGGCCACCTCTCTCCCATCCGCTCAGGCTGAGCGCTCCCCAGCACCAGGCACTCCCCAGAAGTGAGCAGATATCCTGTGTGCAGTGCAGATTCAGTGATGAGTGTTCCCAGGCTCCAGCCCCATCAGGTGCCATGAAGAATTAGCGGGGTGGCAAACCCACACAGCGGCATCCTCGTCCGCTCCTCCTTGTCCAGTTGGCTCCAGTAACCCCTCCCCTCAGGACTTGGCCTCCACACATTCCCGACTGAGACCAAGCCGGCCAGTGTGAGGCCCGCAAGACAGCACAGCTCCAAGGCCGGTGAGGGTGGGAGAGGCTGAGCGCTGCCTCAGCACGTGGGCTGGACCTTGTCGACATTTTTGCAACGCCAGTGAAGGGAGGAGCTTGGTTCACTGAACTTTTGCTAAACTGGTAGCTTACCAGGAGGCGTGAGTTCCAGACCTGATGGTTTCCAGACCTTACTCACACCATTCCCCCACGTGCTCACACACGCACTTGGGCTCGTGGTGACCAGTGTGAGACTGCCCCAGCATTTTGGTTCAAAGGCCAGCCCCTCTCTCCTTGTCGATTAGTGTGGGCTCCTCTCTCAGCTCCCTGTCCTGTCTAGTTCTCGGGGTGCTGCACGCACCTTTTCTCCCCAGGACCTTACTAGGAAAACCTTGAAGACGGGCAGTTTGTGTGCTCTTTCTTTTTTCACGCCAGTGTCCGACTCCATCTATCCCTGTGTGTGAGAGTTTCTTGGACCGGCAAACCCAGATCAGGTTTTTTGACCATTAGCAGAGGCACTTCCGCTGCCTCCTCCCTGAACACAGAACCAGCCGAGGCTGCTGGGCACCACAGGGAAGGGAGCCGGCCGCCCTGCGCAGTCTCCTCCGGGAAGGAAGTCTGCTTATTCCCTTCCTCTCCCCCAAGCACAGAGTCCCCAGGTGCGATTCAAGAGGGAATTTTCTAAAAATAAGGACACCTGGGCGGGCTGACCGCTGTCTCCTTCCACCTACAGATCTAAAGAAATACCGCCGCTACGAAGTGGTGATGACCGCCTACAACATCATAGGCGAGAGCCCGGCCAGCGCACCCGTGGAGGTCTTCGTGGGCGAGGCAGGTGAGCTCCCAGCCCACCCACGGGCTGAGGCTGCCGGGAGCAGCTCTCAAGCCTCGGCGTGTCCCTGTGACGAGCGTGTTGCGGGGTAAGGGGAGGTTTCTGGTCAGTGCTGAGAAGGCAGGCTCAACCGTAACAGCCAGGTTTGCTGTATCTGGAGCCGTCGTGTCTGTGGGCAGCTGCACAGTGTCACCTCGGGGGATGGATGTGCCGGAGCGTCGTGTCCGGGGCATGTGGCACTTGCCGACTTGCAGTCCTGGCTCCGGCAGGGCCCCCGGCACATGAACTAGCCCAGCCTCCTGGAACTTCACCTCCTTGGTTCCCAGCCAGCCACAGGGCATTATCTCTACGCCATTTAGAGAGATCGTGACCCTGGAGTTTGTCTCAAGAGCTACCCCTCTGTGGGGCTGATGCACAGGGAGGAGCCGCGTTGGGCGTTGAGATCCCGGCAGGCTCGTTCCTCCCAGGCCCAGTGTGTGGCCTCTGGCAGGGCCCCGCACACACACAGAGCGCCACCCTGCTGCTTGCACACTTGTGGCCTCCAGAGGCGCGTACAGTCTGCGGTATCTGCTCAGATCTGTGGGTGCTTTGTCAGAACTAGGTGCTTCCAGCTGGGACTACTTGCATTCCCTGAACAGAGACCCAGGCTTGCAGGAGGAAGGAGGTTCAGGCACTGGACCAGGAAACAGGGACCTGTCATGAGGTCACTGCAATTTGCAGAGGTTGTCAGTGTAACAAATCAGCCAGCACTGAGGGTCTTGCTTAGCAAGATTTTTCTGGATTGGTCAAGAAGTATTACTGACAAGTGATGATGAGTGAGATGTGTGACCTCGGAGCACAGGTTATGATAGCCTCTCTACACAGAAATCTGTCCCAAGGGGTGACTTAGAGCAGATGGCGTAGGGGCCCAGTGTTCCAGAAGGGGATGTGCCTGCCACAGAAGGATCCACACACAGCACAAGATTGCTCTCTGTAACGGCAGGTGCTCCTGTTCATTCTGGCACCTAGACCCTGGACCACCACCAACGCGGGGCCTGGTCATGCAGTGGATAGAGGGGATACGCGGCTGACCAGCTGAGCTCTGAAATACTGAGCTCCTGTCCATCAGCCTGCATCCCAGGCAAGGACTCAGTGTCTAGGGAACTCAAGGGGCTGCAGGTAGAGCCTTGGAGAAAAGACCTGGAGCTGGGGGAGAGGCTGGTTAGACCCTGGGGAGCCTTGTTGGGTCAGCTAAGTGACCGCGGGCTTGAGGCCAAGTTTTCAGCTCCAGTTCTGCATTGTTTTGTTTGTTCTGCATGGTAGGAAAATGCATACAATATAGAATTTGTCCTCCTAATCTTTTTAAGTGTGTGGGTCAGGGGCATTAAGTCCATTCCCATTGTTCTGCAGCCATCACCACCACCCTTCTCCAGGACGTCATCTTCCCCACTGAAAGTCCATCCCATTAAGCAGCCCCTTTCCCCTCCCCCAGCCCCTGGCAGCCTCTAATGTCCTTTCTGTCTCTGTGCATTTGCCTGTTCTAGATATTCCCTAGAACTGGAATCATGCACTATGAGCTTGGCTGCTTTCAGTGGGCAGTGTGGTCTTGAGGTCCTTCCATGTGGCGGCAGCTGCCCGGCCTCACCCTTGTCCTGGCTGGGTAGTGCTCCATGTGTGTGCACCGCATTTGATTCACCTGTTCATCCAGGGTGGACGCTCTTATGCTCCCACCCTTTGGACTCTGTGAGTAAATGGTGAACCGCGTGCTGCCCAGGAGTGCTGGGCAGACACCGAACCCCCACAGGGAGGCGGCTGGAGCCCGAGAGGCTGGCTCTCCTGCTCCCCTGGCCCTTCTCACTCCCTCCGCTCCCCACCAGGGGTCCCGCCCCACCTCCTCCTTAGAGGCCTGTCCTTCTGTTCCACCTCCCTCTCTCACACCCACTTCGCCATGAAAGTGACCGCCACCAAATCTCTGGCTTTGACTTCTTGGATACTTTACTGCCCCCTAGAAGGAAAAGGAAAGTTCTACCCATCATGCCTAAGCTTTCTGACCCTCCACACAGGAACTCTGAATAGCCAGAGCCCGCAGAGCTTGGGAAGAGCTGGAATAAGAGCAGAGCAGGCACCCGGGAACAGCCCTGCAGTCTCAGGAATTCCACGCGTGGTCCACCCCCCAAACTCCCAGACTGCTCCCTCCTGCCCCAGGGCCTACCCTCTGGGTGTCTCAGGAACACGACACCCTCCCATAGGCACTTCCACTTGCCTTCCTTTCTGTTGCTCCCTGGATACTCTGTGGGAGACCCCTCCACTTTGCCCCATCGCATGGGACTGTCCTCTGTGTGCCTGTCTTTCTCACTAGGCCAAATGTCCAAATGTCCTTTCAGTCCTCCAAATAGAGGCTCCAGAATTCTCATGTGGATGGGACAGGAAGGTGCATGGGGCCCCCGCGCCCTGGGGCGCTGCCTGTAGTGTGTCCTGCCACGTGCTGGGTGAGGTTGCTGTCAGAGGTCTGCGCCATGACTACAGAGGCCACACTTACCTTTTCTGCTCGTTACTGTATCCTGGGCTTGTTTCCTCCCGGCATGCCCCACCGCAGGGCAAGGGCAGGGCGCAGGCAGAGGAGGGGCTGGACCTGCTCAGCTCCATGGGCCTGTGGGTCCCAGCTGGTGGCATGTGCTCAGCCCTGCAGTTCCCAGCATGAGATCAGATGGGGGGAGGGAGGGAGAGAGGGAGCAGTTACTCACCCTCCCACCACCCCCACAGCTCCCCTGGAGTCCCTCTGGTGGCCAGGCTGGTCCTATCCTGTCCAGGAGGCCTCCCAAGAGCTCCTGTGGCCTTATTTCTGCACACCTCTCCTCACACCAGCTAGTCTGGGGTTCCAAGCCCAGTGGGGACCACCAGGGGCCCCTGCCTTCAGTTGGCTCTGCTCTTCTCTCCCCCACCCCCATTCCTGTATTAATCCAAACCTCTCACACGCTGACAGCACTCAGTCCTGCATTTTTAGCTGTGGCTCAGCCTCAGCAAGTTTCTCTGTCCGCTGTGTTTACACTGCAGAGAATCTTCTGGAAGGAGGATGCCCTCCCAGCATTGCTGCCGGTTAGTTGTCATCATTCCAGCCTCTCATCTCACAGCCCAACTTTCCCGTTGTCATAATTTCACTCTGGTGACAAGAAGTGCTGCTAACAAAGCCTCAGAAAATGAAATTAACTTGGGCTAATTTCTGTTCACTTGGCTAGATACCGCGTCGTATCACAAAACATGAAAGAGGCAAGGACATTTATGAAAACAAAGAAAGACAGAACTGTGGTTTCTTGAGGATACTCGTCAGTCTGAGTGTTGGCTATGCGCGTTACCAGCTGTGTGACTCTAGGCAAGTTGCGTGACCACTCTGAGCTCCGGTCTTGAGGCAGGATGGTGTCAAGGGAAACTCCACTGCCTCCTGTCTTGGACAGGCTCTTCGTCGAGATAGCTTTGCAGTTATCGGCCGCAGGGAGAGAGCTGCCCATCTTTTTTAAAGCTGATGGTGGGCATGCACTGGCACTTAGCCTGCCTCTCCTGGCACCCCCATCTGCAAACCAGTTGCTGTGGTCAGTGGCCTGAGGTCCCTGAAACCGGGGAATGATGTCATCTCTACTTGGACCACATGCGCCAAATGGGAGGAAAGATCCCAGGGGATTCCTGATGCCACGACCAAAGTGGGGGGGAGGTAGTGGGTGTTTTTCTAGCCCTCTCCATGGCTTAGCACTCCAGGTGGAGTTACCGAGAGGCAGCAGCTTTCCTGGGAGAGGTGCAGAGGCTTTGTGTGTGGATTTCTGCACAGACTGTGTTCCCAGCTTCTGGGTACTATTGGAAAGTTAGGAACCCATATCCTGGCCCTCAGGGCACTCACTACAGCAGGAGGGGACCCCCACTTGCAGGACAGGCCTGCCCTCCAGCCCTGGGACCCAGCCGGACACAGTCGTCCTGCATCAGGCCCATTTCCAGCCCTCTCAGGTGGCTGCCCTGAGCGCACCATTCCGCCCACATGCCAGGCTGCATCCACCTGGAGTCCCTACTTATAACTCCTGTCCCTGCACGGCCCTTCCCCCACCCAAGGCTTCCTTGCAGGCAGCACCAGTGCCTCAGGGGCTAGGCCACCTTCTCCATTAGCCTAGGCAGAACTGGTACCCTTCCTGTATTCTAGAACATGCGCCATTCTTTGCACTGTCCTTCTATGCTGCACAGAGCAGAGATCCCCTCTAAGTCACCCCAATATGCTCAAGCACCCCAATATCCTGAACAAATACTCTGAATTGTTGGGGGGGGGGAGGAGGACAGACTAGGATGGAGAGGAAGGGAAAAATCAGGGCTGTAAACATGACCACAGTGAGGCTGGGGCCTTGCCAGGGGCATCCCCCTGGGCCCAGGGTATGAGGAAGGATCCGGGGAGCTTCCTTCTGAAGCCCCTGCCCATCTCCCATTTGCCCAGTAGCTGTCGCTCTTTAAAGCAGGATGAATGTCTGAGGATCCCCCAAGCCTGGGACCCACAAGAGGTTCACACCAAACCAAGTGCAGGAACCCAGACCTTCCCTTCGGGCAACTGAAGCTGAACCCATCCCTGACACTGTCCAGACACAAGTGAGGCAGGAGCAGGTTGCGCCTGCTTTGAAGTAGGGGTGTCATGGAAGCCGGCATGAGGGACAGCAGCACCCCTGCTGGCTTGTTGCCCCAGAAATGGGGGAGGCAGCACCTGCTCCGACAGTGCTCCCATAGACTGCCCCGGGACAGTGGGCTCGCAGGAGCCCTCTTATTTGGGGGGTGAGGTATTTCTAGTGCTTCTGTGAAGTGGGGTTTGATCTGCTGAGGGGACGAGGCCCTCAGTCACTGAGTCACAGTGATGGTTCAGAGAGATGGAAGCAGCAGGGCACACATGTGGACCGGCGTGTGGACTCACATGGGCTTGCATGTGGACACATGCAAGTTGTGGGCAGGTCCCTCCCCTCACTTGGACTAGCCGGCATGTCATCATGGGTAGCCTGAGCATC